TTTTGCAGTAAGAGGACCGACCAAGCCTCTTCTTCCATCTCCCTGTTACAAAAATCAATGCCGTGTACACGACCACTGATAGGAGACGCGGAAGGTATTAAACTGATCAGAACAATACTAAACACACCACTCCTATCTGGTGGCACATTGGCTTGACCGCGCAGTGCCCCAAATTTGAATTAAGAGGACCGACCAAGCCTCTTCTTCCATCTCCCTGTTACAGAAATCACTGCCATATCCATACAAATTGTACAGAATGTCCGGGATAGTTTTCCATGGACAAATGTTGTCGCCTGTTGAACGAGGTACACGACCACTGATAGGAGACGTGGAAGGTATTAAACTGATCAGAACAATACTAAACACACCACTAATAAGGTTTTTCTCCTGTATGGCTCCTCAAATGATGCTTAAGATTAGAAGCGGCTGAAAAGCATTTCTCACACAGGTATTAAACTGATAAAAATAGTACTAAACACTCCACTCCTATCTGGTGTCACATTAGCTTGACCGCAGTGCCCCAAATTTGCAGTAAGAGGACCGACCAAGCCTCTTCTTCCATCTCCCTGTTACAAAAATCAATGCCGTGTACACGACCACTGATAGGAGACGCGGAAGGTATTAAACTGATAAGAACAATACTAAAACACACCACTCCTCATCTGGTGTCATCACATTAGCTTGACCGCCAGCAGTGCCCCAAATTTGCAGTAAGAGGACCGACCAAGCCTCTTCTTCCATCTCCCTGTTACAAAAATCAATGCCGCAGGCCACACCACCACTGATAGGAGACGTGGAAGGTATTAAACTGATCAGAACAATACTAAACACACCACTCCTATCTGGTGGCACATTAGCTTGACCGCGAAGTGCCCCAAATTTGAATTAAGAGGACCGACCAAGCATCTTCTTCCATCTCCCTGTTACAGAAATCACTACCATATCCATACAAATTGTACAGAATGTCCAGGATAGTTTTCCAGGGACAAATGTTGTCGCCTCGTTGAACGAGGTGACCTTTGCCTCGGGTCCCAGGTGTACGGTTCCTAAAATGGCTATATACACGCCCACTGATAGGAGACGCTGAAGGTATTAAACTGATCAGAACAATACTAAACACACCACTAATAAGGTTTCTCCTGTATGGCTCCTCAAATGATGCTTAAGATTAGAAGCGGCTGAAAAGCATTTCTCAAAGCACTCAGAACAAAAATATTTTTTTTTAACATTCTCTCCACTTTGAACGAAATGACGTTTGGGAAGAGATTAACATAATTAAACACAGGCAGTAAAAATACAGTTTTTAGCCATACCCTGTAACTTTAAAACTACACATCCCACCTTCATAATTACATATTTGGAATCAGCACACTTAAAACATAAACATAACCAAAAATCAGCCAAATCCATCCAGGGGTTAAAAAGTTAGCTGGAGGTCCCTTTATGACCGACCGCAAGCACATTTTCCTGCCCAAACAGTTCCATAGATTTGGGCTGTGAGGTCGGTCTATTTCAGGCTGAAAAAACGACTAAGTCCCATCGCGAATGGGACTTAGTCTCTGCAGCTGAAATAAGGCTGAAAAAAACGGCTGAAAGAAAGACTAAGTCCCATCGCCGAATGGGACTTAGTCTCTGCAGCTGAAATAAGGCTGAAAAAAACGGCTGAAAAAAAGACTAAGTCCCATCGCTGAATGGGACTTAGTCTCTGCAGCTGAAATAATTTCCCATTTACTGAACCAAGTGGGAAATAGCAAGGCAGGCACAAAGGGTTTGCACCATGTCTGGGGACACAGGGGACACCGTCTTAAAGGGGCCGTGTCCCCAACAAGTCTGGGGACACGGCCTTAAAGGGGCAGTGTCCCAATCTTCCTGATGTCCCAAAAAAGGTGTTTAAAGGGCCAGCACCAGTCACATAAAGAGTCCATAAGCCCCAATATGCCCACCGACAGTCTTAAAGGGCCATACACACCAAATAAAAAGTGCATACATTTTCACAATCTCCCAGGGGCCATAGTCATGCGGGAGGAGGCTGGCAAAGAGGCTTCTCCACAACCCAGGGAAACAGGGCAATTTGCCATTTAAAGGGCCCGTTACAAATAGTAGTTTGTAACAAGGTGTCAATCCATATCTGCCAAGTGACCCGATGTAGGGGGAACAGTCCCTATTCTTCTCTGTGTCAGTGTGTATCATGGTCTCTGAGGACAGGTGTCAATCCATATCTGCCAAGTGACCCTATGTAGGGGGACCAGTCTCTATTCTGCTCTGTGTCCGTGTGCATCAGGGGCTCTGAGGACAGGTGTCAATCCATATGTCAAGGTGTCAATATGTCATATGTCAGGTCTCAATCCATATTCATTGTGATTTAGGAATGTTAGGTGATTTCTGCCCTTTATGGATTAAAACCAGACTCTGTATCAACTGTGTAATTTTCCATGGGAGTTTTGCCATGGATCCCCCTCGGCATGCCACAGTCCAGGTGTTAGTCACCTTGAAACAACTTTTCCATCACTATTGTGGCCAGAAAGAGTCCCTGTGTGTTTTAAAATTTGCCTGCCCATTGAAGTCTATGGCGGTTTCGGCGGTTCACGTTCACAACATTTATGAAGTTCTGCTAAGTTACCGCTCACAACCGGTACCTTCGGTTCGGCGACATCACTATATATATGTAATTTTATTTATTCTAATTGTATTCTTTTGATATAAATATATATATATATTACGTATATATATATATATTTATATCATATATACATATATATATATATCAAAAATACAGTTAGATTAAAATTACATATATATATATATATATAATTTTTTATTATTATTTTTACATTGTTTTATTTACTTTTTAATTACTTTTTTAATAAAAAAATAAAAAATATATATCAAAATACACTTAGAATGAATTTATATATCTATGTATATATATATATATATATATATATATATATAACCTGAGTCGTATACATAATTACATAAATAATTTCATAAATATAAAAATAAACTTCAAAAAAATAAAAAATAAATAAATATATATATATATAACCTGAGTCGTATACATAATTACATAAATAATTTCTTAAATATACAAATAAACTTAAAAAAAATATATATATATATATATTTAAATTCATATTTAACACAGGGCAAATAGGGCAGCTATCCCAGGCCCAGTCACCCTGAGGGTCCCAAAGCAGCTGCCTCATGTTCCAGGATCCCCCAACAATTTTTTTCCACCATGGGCCTGCCAGTGCAGCCAGGGGCACGCACACTAAGGAGGGCCATCGGCTGGCCCATGCCCTTAGGGGCACCAGATGGGCTTGTATCAGCAGGGGGCCTGGTTGGGCACTGTGGCCCTTTAACAGCGCGACTGTGCACCTTGCTTTTGGCAGTGCTGGGAGTAAGTGACAGCCACAAGTCACTTCCTCCCACAGAGATTACAGAGCAGCATGGGTGGGAAGAGCCTCTGGCACCACACTGACCTTAGGGAAGCCACCCTCCATCAAAAGTTACAGCTTAAAAAGGTTAATTTTACATGTTTGTCTGTGTGTGTGTGTCAGTATGTCTGTCACTGTATGTATCTGTGTGTGTCAGTATGTTTGTCAGTGTATGTATCTGTTTGTCAGTGCATGTGTTTCAGTGTGTGTAAGTGTATCTGTGTATTGCAGTGTATGTGCATACATCTCATCATTCAAATACCAACACTACATCCACTACATACAAATACACCCCTGCATTGAAACATCATCAATGCTACATACAAACACACCTATGTGTTCAGGGCCACCATCAGGGGTGACAACCATAATGGGGCCTGCACGCTGATGGGCCTGACGCATTTAGGGCCACCCGATGGGCCCTATATCTTCAGGGGCGCCGGTCAGCGCTGTGGCCGTGGTATAGCGCGACCAGGCCCCTTTAAAAAAAAATTAAAATGCAGCCGCATCGCAAGTGCTGCTGGGAGGAAGTGGTCACTTCCTCCCATCTCACTCCGCGCAGGAGGAGCGCGCGCCTGGCAGTGAAGAGGGAGATCCAGCTGACTCCCAGTCCCATCAGCCACAGCCACCCTCCTGCAAAGACAAGGTAAGAGACAGGAGGGTGGCTGGAAAATGAGCTGTGTGTATGTGTATGTGAATGTATGTCTGTATGTATGTCTATGTCTGTATGTATGTCTGTATGTATGTATGCATGTCTGTATGTATGTATGTATGCATGCATGTCATTATGTGTGTATGAATGTCTGCATGTCATTATGAATGTGTGTATGTATGGATGTCAGTGTCTGTATGAATGTATGTATGCCAGTATGAATGTATGTCTGTATGCATGTCTGTATGTATGCATGTCTGTATGTCTGTATGCATGTCTGTATCTATGTATGCATGTCATTATGTGTGTATGAATGTCTGTCTGTCTGTATGAATGTATGTATGCCAGTATGAATGTATGTCTGTATGTCATTATGAATGTGTATATGTATGGATGTCAATGTCTGTATTAATGTATGTATGCCAGTATGAATGTCTGTCTGTATGTCATTATGAATGTGTCTGTATGTCCTTATGCATGTGTGTCTGTATGTATGTTAGTATGTGTCTGTCACTATGTACGGCTGTGTGTCTGTATATGTGTGTATGTCTCAGTATGTGTGTCAGTATATATGCCTATATGCGTATCAATATGTGTGTCTGTTAGTATGTATCAGTGTGTGTGTGTGTGTGTGTGTGTGTGTGTATCTGTGTCCTTTTGTATCAGTGAATGTGTTTGTGTCTGTGTGTGTATTCCTGTGGGTGGGATTTGGAGGCGGTCTCAGTGGGCGGTTTTTGAGGCGGGCCCCCAGGGGCCCAGACCCTGAGCTCAGTTAGGGGCCCCAAAATTTCTGGTGGCGGCCCTGTATGTGTTACACACATCCATACATTCAAAAAGCAACACTACACATAAATGCATACTCCACAAAACCCACACACTGCCCTACATTCACAAAAACAACATACTCCATACAAAAACATGCTTACATTCAAACATGGCTCAGTGCTAAATACAACCCTGCAAGCCTGGGAAAATGGTAGAGCTCCAGCTGTCAAAGCATTGTTGGAGTTGCACAAGAGATAAAGATCTACCTTTTGGCCAACCTTGCGATTGGGTAACCCAAAAAAATCCATCACTGTGTTGGGGTGGAGGGCATGGT